CTCGGCTCGTTTACAGCCCTACTCCTAACATAGCAAAAACCCAAATATATTAGCCCTATTTATACCTCACAATAATAACTGACAAATGAATAAATTTCCTCTTTTAGTCTTATGCCTAACATAAGTCTTCAAACTACTTTAGCGGGTTCGTTATCAACTCATTGAAGCACAAGAAAGACGGTGTTGCGGGTGTTGATCTAACATAACTCTCACCATAAAAAGATACATTGTTCTCAAGTTGTAAGAGAGAAATCTCATGCCAAATCAAGTTACATGGCTCCCACGGGGCAATATAATATGATTTTTCTTTCCATTTTACAATAAAATCACAATGACTCACATAAATTTGAAATACAATCTTTTGAACATCCATCTGTCGCAACCGAACTTGATGGTATCTTGCCTTAATGTTAATATTGGAGAATACCATAGCTCCTAACAACTTGAGTAGCTCATCGATCACCCGAATGGGAAATTTGTTAGGTATAGTCTCATTCAAAACCCGATAATCCACAAAAAATGCCAACTCCTCTTCTTTTTCACTAGCAAGATTGGGCTAGAGATGGAGCTCACACTAAGTTGTATGATTTTGTTCTCCTACATATCTCAGATTAATCTCTTGATTTTTGTCTGTGTGCCTGAGGCTGATGGGAGAAAACCTGGTCTTGGGGTTATTACATACTCGTGTTCCCTTTAAGGCGACAATCCGCATTGCAACGGGAAAACTTCAAAAAATATTATAGGAGCTGCTGGATCAGTGCCGAAATCTTTGCTAACTTCGTATCATATGTATCTTAACTCTCTTTTATGCAACAAACCCAACCATAGGTACCCCCTCCTCCAAAGATCGATATCTTCAACTTATGCATGAATCTCCTCCCCAATTTTCTCGACCAAAGTTCATTCCACCAATGAAGTGGGGATTGGGTTCCTTTTCTTGACCTATATTGATTTCCTTTCTTCCATAAGTCTGGCTTACCCAATAATAAGCTCGTCTGTCCCCATAGGCTCCTAAATATCCTGCTTGGAAGACTGCCACTGTAAAAGGCATTGGCGTGGTTGGTTGCAACCCTCTGTCGGGGTCCCACCCACAGTGGTTTCTTGTTAGCTCGAAATTCTTCGAATTGATCTTCTCCAACTTTGAATCACATGCCATCCTGTTCTGTCAGTTTTCTCTCATTCAAAATTTCTAGTTGTCTTGCAATTACGAACAAAAGTTAACACTGAAATATGCTCTCGACTCCTTTGCTCGATTCCGCCTACTTCCATTTGTTTCAGCTGTTCGGCGGTCATGCTATTCCTTTAAAGTGCTGGTGCTTGAGTTTGTTCCCGATTCTTTCATTTGATCCACATGCCACATAGATCCTTTAGATTATTGTTGCTCATATTTGCTCAAGATGCTATCACTCCATCTCGTAACGGGCGAAGACAATTTTGAGTGAAACTCCATCTTTTTCATCATTTCTTCTAGGACCATGGGCCTCTCCATTTCAGATCTGATTTGGCTCATATGTTCCTCATTTATTTCGTCCATAACATCTTCTTTCTTGTTCTCCATTACCCCTAGGACGATTTTCCATCATGAAGACGAAACTATTGTACGCCGTAATCCCGTCGCTGGTTTCCCAACTAGCTTGGATCGCGATTGTATCATGAGATTCGATCACAAGCAATCCTGTCGTTGACTTCCTAGAGAAATCACAACTATATCTCGCAAAGTTCGGTCACAAGCTATCACATTATTGGCTTCCGAACACTTGAATCACTATTGTATCGTGACCAGGGCACGCCACGATCCCGACATTGGCTAGAGTCGCAACTGTGTCACAATGTTAGGTAACGGAGCAACTCGAGGGTATGCTGTGATCCCGTCGTTGGGTTCCAACTAACTGAAAGTGTGATCATTTTGTGTGGTCTTGTCTTGAATACGATGTCCTTTACGTTGTAATGCCTTTGTTGCTTTTTAGCTCTCTTGAATCACAACGGTTTTCGCCCCACGATTTCTTCGGCTTCCAAGAATGCTTCCCAAAATCGAATGCTCTCATACCAAGTTTATAGGCAAGAGATGAACTTCCACAGACCCAAATACATAAAAGGTAAGCAATTCCAACTCGAGAGATAAGCGATCTCTCTCAAACCCTAACCCTAACCTTAACACTTACAATTCAAGAGGTTGGCGATCTCTCCCAAATCCTAACCCTAAGATTCAAGACAAGAATCACACATAATATAACATAACCCTAAACATATAAACCTATTTATACCCTACAATAATTACTGACAAATGACTAAATTGCCCCTTTTAGTCTTACGTTTAACAATAGTCTTCAAACTACTTTGTCGGGCTCGGTGTTGAATAATTGGAGCACAAGGCGCAGTGCTCTAGGTGCAGATCTAACAGATTGCCATGGGGTATACTACTAAGGTGTGGCTTTTTCACATATTCAATGTCCAACCTCTTTTTTTTTCTTGAATACATCTATATCACCATCGCTAAAAATTCTGCTTTTAATGATCTTCATAATAGATTAGATACTAAGGAGGGGTGAAAAATATTATATGTATAAACTAGCCAAACAAATAGAAAAGAAAAACAAAGATTTAACTCAAGTAAAGTGTATTAAAGATGAAAATAAAAAAGTACTTTTTTTAGGAAAAGATATTCAACATAGATGGGTGAGTTACTTTGATAAACTTTTTAATGAAGTTTCTGAAAATACGATCGACCTTAGTGATTTTAATATCGTGAATAATAATAAAATGTTTCTTTTTTACCGTCGCATTAGTAAAAAAGAAGTTGAGGAGGCTTTAAAGAAAACTAAGGGTGGAAGGTCTGTAGGACCTGATGATATCCTAATTGAAGTGTGGAAATATTTGGGAGATTTGAGAGTTTCTTGGCTTACTTAACTCTTTAATATTATTTTAAAAACTAAAAAGATGCCTGAGGAGTGGAGGAAGAGTATTTTGATTCCATTTTTAAGAATAAAGGGGATGCACAAGAGTGTGCAAATTATAGAGGAATTAAGTTGATGTGTCATACTTTAAAATTACGGGAGAGAGTAATCGAACATAAGTTAAGACACATCAAATCTATTTGGATTTATGCCGAGCATGTCTACTATGAAAGCTATACATTTATTGAGAGGTTTGATGGAGAAGTTCAGAGATAATAAGGAGAATCTGCATTTGATTTTTGTTGATTTTGAAAAAGCTTACGATAAGGTTCCAAGAGATATCCTTTGGAGAGTTCTTGAGAAGAAAGGTGTTGATATGACTTATATTCAAGTCATTAAAGATATGTATACTAGAGTTGTTACTTGTGTTCAAACTGAAGGAGGATTGACCAAATATTTTCCTATTCTGTTGGATTAAATCAGGGATCGTCTTTAAGCCCATATTTTTTCGCTTTAGTTATGGATGGTCTTACTGGACATATACAGGAGGATGGACCTTGGCGTATGCTTTTTGCTGATGATATCCTTCTCGTGGATAAAA